AGGCTTCCGTAGGTGAGAGTTCTTGGCTGGGCAGTGAGGACCGTAGGAGCGGAATGTGGACCGCACATGCGGAGCCGCAGGAGCGACTATTGGACCACAGGTGCAAAGGTCGGGCTTGGCAGTGTGTTTCTTTAAAACGAGGGTTTGGCTCAATGCTACTTCATGTTGTCCATGGGAGCTGATGTTGGAGCACTTTTGGAGTGCCATCTTCATCAACTATGATGGGTTAAGTGATTTCTTCACATTGTGAGTTAAATACATAATTTTTATATGGATTCAAGCATGAAAAATTGTAGGAATTTGGGATTTTGAAGAGAAACCTAGAAATTGGTATTTTTGGATTTTGAACACGAAATTTGACATTGAATTTGGAATGAATTATATATTTGAGTTCGTGGGGTTATGGGTAATGTTTATCTTCGAAAATTTTCGAAATCCGGGCACGTTGGCCCGAGGGTGATTTTTATCGACTTTTCGAGCAGAGTTGGAAATTGTTGTAAATTAAATTATAATGAGTATTAGAGTATATATTTATGGGTTTGCACATTTATTGACTAGTTTTGGAGCATTGGGCATTGGTTTGAGTTGTTGGAAGGGCTTGGGAGCCGGTTTTGGAATTTCGGAGCAAGGTAAGTTTCTTTTCTAATCTTGTAAGAGGGAATTAACCCCATAGGTGAATCAAATCATTATGTGCTTCTATTTATGGGGGCTACGTACGCACGAGGTGATGATAGTTTATGCATATCTACTATTATGATTATGTCTGGATAGTCTAGGACCCATATCTTGTTGTACTTGCGATGTTGCGCCCTACTTGTTAATTTAATTGCTTAAAACATTTAGAAACTCGATAAAGGAATTGTAAAAAGCTTAAACTTCATTTACTTGACCATTAAATGTGAATTTGTAATTCTTGGAATATTTGCCCCTTAATAAATCTTGAATTGGTTGTTTAATGTGTTTTTTCTTTTGTGGAGCGAGCTGAACGCCTCGGTAGCAGAATGATACATCTATGGTCCGTGCCGTTCGACCCTCGGTAGTGCACAATTTAAATATTTATGTTGGATCGGTCTATACGACCTCAGCATGATTTGCGCATTATTGAATTGGTTGCTTTGGAATTTATGATAATTGATATTGCTTCATTGGCCTGAGATACAAAATGATAAACGATGAAAAATAAATTTGGAAATTTCTTATTAATAAAAGAATTGTTTATTTATTTCATGATATTGAGCTTGCAACCGTTCTACGTAATCCATGCTAAATTATATCATTGATATTTTATTTATAGCCCATATTAAATGTCGGAGCCGACCCCTCGTCACTACTTCTTCGAGGTTAGGCGGGATACTTACTGGGTACGCATTGATTTACGTACTCATACTATACTTGCTGCACATTTTTGTGCAGGTACATATATGCCTAGTGGCCTTGTGGGAGTAGAGGCACGTTTATAGCGGCGACTTAGGTGAGATGCACTCTATACTACGATCCGCAGCCAGTAGAGTCTCCTTCAGAGTATTTATATTTTTTAGTCCAAATTGTATTTAGGACATATGCTGTATTTTATTTTACATTCCTAGTTGATATTCATGCACTTGTGACACCGGATTTTGGGGTGATTAGGGGTTATCCTGTATTGAAATTGTTAAAAATATTATTATTTACACGGTAAATTCCATCTTTTACTATTTAATTGAAAGAAATATGATTTCAAAAATATTAAAATGAGAACCAAACTAAGTATTTATTTTTGGCTTGCCTGACAGCGGGGTCCGGCGCCATCACGACCTTTAATGGATTTTGGGTCGTGACAACATGGTATCAGAGCACTAGGTTCACTTACGTCTCACAAGTCATGAGTGAGTCTAGTAGAGTCTTGCGGATCAGTACAAAGACGTCTATACTTATCTTTGAGAGGTTATCGGACTGATAGGAGCACTTCCCTTCTTGATTCCTTATCGTGCGATTTGATTCCTTTGATGCTTATGCCTTCATTTCCTTCCTATTCGATCTTATGCGACGTGAAGCGCTTGTTATAAGTTTGGAATCGAGGAATTTTAATGGAACTACTGATTTAGAGCAGGATGTTTCTCCCTGCGTATTCGATTGGGCTAATGTTGTCGCCTTGTGGAAGGGTGTTTTGTCATCTCAGCTCAGTAGCGGTATTTCTGATGGTTTTGGGGCTATACACCAATTGCTATGATGTTCATGAGCTGTTATCGCACAATATTAAAGTAATGGTAGGATACTTGTATACGTGTAGGGGCAGTGAATGAATCGAAAGGAGATTTTTCTCAATGCGTGATTCAGAGGTTCAATGTTTTATTTCCTGCGGAGGAAAGGCAATTAGACTAAGAATGTTCAGGTTGGATTGATAGAGTAACGAGACTTGGTATCTTCAAGTGTGGTGGAATCTTCATCCGAGATGTGGTGCCGTCGTCCTTGATTGAATATGTTAAGTTTGCCGGTGTTATGGCGTTCTTCAAATCGCCTTTAGGGCAGAGTATTGTGAATGGTGCCAGGGAAGCGGCTGTCAGATGTCGTAGTGTGCTGTGGTTTAGAATCGAATCGGTAATCCTAATGTTGATGGCTCAAGGAGGATGATCTTCGAGGAGGTTTAGAGTTGGCAGCGATCTGTTGGTTCGGGTGCTACGGAGATGAATTCTGAGTTAAGGCAACAACTGGGCAGCGAAGGATGAGGAAAAAGGTGTCTTGCGGTGGTTAAACTTCTAGAAGGCCAAGTGTAAGAAAACAGAAGTCGAATAGTTTCTTAAAAGAGAGGGTTTGACCAAAGTGGGAGAGTGGCAGAGTAGCATATGGGTTCTGTGGTAGGATAACTGCACGCCTTGAGGAAAGTTTAGAGTGATTTGGGGGATTCATGGGGGATAAGGAGTCTTGGTGGGTTCCAGAGTTATGCAATGGTAGCTCCAAGCTAAGTGGGAGAGCCCCCCCTCCCTGTCTACAATTTGATTGCATGGTTATCTACTTTTGAGGTTTCTGGTTATCGGCATATTAGTGGGTTATTACGACTAAAGAAATAGAATATCAGTGGTAATTTGAGCAAAGGATTTGAGGAATGTGTGCTGTAATTGGCCTTATCGATTCATGTTCAGGCTTTGGGAAGACTCAGAGTTTATGCTTCGTGTAGATGTGAAGTACAAGAAAAGTGATCCAGCCGGGTGCTTCTTTGAGAGAGTGTTCATGTTCTAGCAAGGCCTTGGAGTTGGTTATATTCGGGACCAAGCAAGAGTGGGCGACTCTCAACAACGGTCCTAGTGGATTCAAAAGTTGAAGTGCGGTGCCTCAAGATTTTGAGTCCGTAGTATGGTTAAGTATCGAGCTTTTGCAGTGGAATATGAAAGGAACCGGGAGTATTCTATGTTATTTTCAGTCTGTGGTGTAGCATTGGAGGAATGGGGGAAAGTAACTTCGGATTCATAGAGGGATTATCAGAATGGGTGTCCCAGTTGAAGATGCGAATATGCGCGCAAGGAGGGTATGAGATGGTTCGTGGGTTTTGAGACAACGTGGTCTCGTGAAATGAGATCACTCAAGATAAGTACAGATTTGGGTTCGTTATATTTTGAATGGAACCATTATTATTCCTAAAGCAAGTCCAGAGTAAATTAGAAGAAGTCGGATCGGTTAGCAATGGTTGAATTGGCATGATGGTGGCAATTATCAGTTCCTTCAGCGTGTTAAGTATACATGTGACTTGTGGCGGTACGTGCGAGGCTTGACGGCCACCATAATTGATTTTATTTGGAGGCATTCTAGTATTATGGCCTGTTATGTGTAGATGGATTCCGTAAGAGTTTTGGTGGTTTAGACCACTACTTGAGGTTTGTATTTTCTGCAGTTATGTGAATTCAGTCACGTGTTGCAATAGTTCTCCTGAAATGAGTCAAGTGAGAGGTTCCTCTATGATGAAGTGTGTATTCTATTAGTGGTTCAGGAGTTATGATAAAACTATTGTACTCTTGCGTATTGGCACGATTAGGTGCAGTGAGTAGTATGGGAATTGGAAGTTGAGGATCAAAGCTGCGGTTCGGTGTTGACAAGAATGTCACAAGCTCGGATGAGCAGGAAAAGGGATTCAGATGTTTAGAGTAAGCTGGTATGAATTAGACATCCCGAAAGTAATTATACTAATAGGATTCCTAAAGGTAATCATGTAGGATTCCTAATGTGTAGTATTATATCCTAAAACTAATAGGATTATAAGGCTAATATCTAGAATTTCGGTTATGTCCTTTTATTATGAGTTATTATGCTTAATATTATAAGGTCATTTTTGTAAACCGACATTGTATTCTTGCTTTTATATTAATATAGATATATGGGACATGTTCCTAAGAAACCATAATAGTACAAGTGTAGAGAATATCCACTAGAATATTCTCTTTTAATATCCTACCTTGACAAACTAGCCGTTACAGCTCTTATCAATGATATTCAACCTCGACCTCAACCCTTGTTGACATCTCGACTACGACTCTTGTCGACACTTCAGTCAGGGACATTGCTGCTTCTTGTGTTATTTCGACTAACGTCGACTCGAGAACTCTTCCTTTAATATTATCTTCGTTCAAATACTCTAGAGATAAATTTTGACCCATACACTTGTTACAAGTTTACGACGGAGTATCTCTTTATTGGTGATCGAGGCAAATGGAGCCTATGTTCAATATATTGAACCGAACTTAATATTTTCAATACGGAAAGGCTTGAAAGGTTGGAACCAAGTAAGTAGAGGAGCCTTAGGATCGCGACACATGTCAATTAGCTTAATAATCAGCAAATTAAGTTAATTGGGGGACTTAAGGGCATATATGGACCAACTATTGGACGTCAAGGGCATGGATGAATCCACCTATTAACGACGGTCATATTTGCTCAATTTCGCATAGTTGAAGGGTATATCTAGCCCTTTTCTATTTTCGACATGGAACATGAATACGTATAATTGGATTTTAGTGAATTATGAATGAAAATTCATTAAAATAATAATAAATACTAAATTTTGACCCCATAATTTTATAAGTACCGTAAATTAAGTACTAAAATTTTTAAAAATTAAGTACGTTAAAAGATTAAATCCTACGTCTGCCTCATAAGGGGATTAATCCTTTATCCTAGCAGATCCCACATGTCAATATCAACTGAAAAGTGGCATTTCCTCATGCAACAAAGTTGGTGATGAATTATCAGCTTCCTCAATCCCATTATTGTTGTAATTGTTAGCTAGTAAATCGGCCCACCATTGAATTCCATCATCCGTCAATTCTTCAGTTGTTGGCTTCAAATTATCGTTGAATCTAATTATTTCGCTGCTGCCTTCAATATCCTTATCTACAGTATTTGTGTTACTTTTAACACAAGTATTTGTCTTTGAGAAGGTTCGAGGCCGAGGTCTGAATATGGTGATCTTCTTTGCTTTTTGCTTGCTCTCCTTTTGATCATGAGGAGCAATTAACTTCTTGCGAAGATGGCTGTTCCAGTAGTTTTTGACATCGTTTGCCGTCCTTCCAGGAAGTCTACCAGCAATAAGTGACCATCTAAACAAAATAATAAGGATAATTAATCAAACATGCATGTCTTTTACTCTTCTTGGTTACTTATGGAAAAATCATAGTAGTGTTAGGGTTCATTTATATAATTAATTAAGTCTTTTTCCACGGAATATTTTTCAGTCATTTTCCGATGTTTGATTATTAGAATATTTTTTTCAAAGAAAACATTTTCTATCAAGGAGAAAAATGACTCCTGCAAATTAATGAGCAGAACTCATTTTTGATACAGCTATCTCAATTTTTAGTTTTATATCACTTGCTCTAACTACTTTTAGACATTGTATTAATCTTTAGAACTCAAATATTTGATTTAAACACACTGATTACTAATTTATTCATATATATATATATATATATATATAGATTCCAAAAAATACTACTCATCAACTAAACGATGAAAAATATTTTTAAGAACTGTTTTTTATAGTAAATATTTTTCTGAAGAATATTTTTCATGGAAAATGAGAGTGTGCGTAATATATATATATATATATATATATATATTCCAAAAAATACTACTCATCAACTAAACAATAGATTATATTTTTTCAAAACTATTTTTTATAGGAAATATTTTTCTGAAGAATATTTTTCATGAAAAATGACTTTCATCAATATCGAACACAATCTTAGTATTTTCTCGATTTGGCAAAGAGAGGGAAAAGTTGGGAGTGGGTTAATTGGTAAAGAAGAAGGGAAAGGAGATAGAACGTGAGTTTAACATGAAATAATATGGCCATCAAGTGTTTGAACTTAAACTTGCCTGTTGCCTAACAGCTTATGAAGCCTCAAAATGAGATCTACTTCATCAAAAGAGAAGTCTCCTCTCTTTATATGTGGCCTTAGATAATTTAGCCACCTTAATCTGCAGCTCTTTCTGCATCTATTCAAACCTGCATACATATTTATATAAAACATGACAATGTTATATTATCACAATGTACATATCTATACGGCGAAAATGTAAAAATAATTTTTACACTATGACATCACCAAGATAGAAAATAACAAGTAATAGTTTAGTGAAACTAGTTACCTCTAAAATAAGATAAGTAACCTGTTACAATAAGTAGAATTACATTAATATTTTTTTAGCGGGTTTGTCGACGAGAGTTTACCAGCTCTAAGAGGAACTTGATGCCACTTTCCTTCTCCATATTTCTCGATGCATTTTTTCAATAGAACATCTTCTTCTTCAGTCCATGCACCTTTCTTCACTCCTGACGACGACTTATTAGTACAAATATTCATGATCTTGGTATCTCAATGCAGAAGTACACGTAGAAAATTAAATACTTATGTATTAAGCATTACTTGGAATTGAAAAAACCTCTAGCTATTGCTAGCTTGCTTTGCTAGATCTTCCCACTGATTTGAAGTCATAACTTCCAGTTCTTCTTTATATACACGAGTTGATATGATTTTGAGAGATGCCCGAAATTGTAACGTGGACACACGTTTACCACGGACGGACAGCCTTGCATGAAATTTATGAAACCATAAAAAAAAAATTCTAAACTCTATGAATTACAGTGTAAACAAGATTTTCAAGATCTAGTCCATGTATTGGCATTGTAAAATAAATTTACAGTGTCAAGTCACTATAATCTAAGTTATAACATAATAGATTTAAGTTATGAATTCTAAAAATATAAATTTCTTTTACACTACAGTCTGGTTTAACACATATAACATATTAGTTGACTTTTTAAAAAAAATTATATCACCAATTAATATTTATCATAAGCATTTATCTATAATAATGCATATGGTGTTCATTGACCTAGAAAAAGCCTACGATAAAATCCCAAGAGAAGTTCTATGGAGATATTTGGAGGTTAGGGGTGTGTCGGTAGCATACATTAGGATGATTAAGGACATGTACGATGGAGCTAAGACTCGGGTGAGGATTATGGGAGGAGACTCGGATTAATTCCAGTGGTGATGATGTTGCATCAGGGATAAGCTCTTAGCCCTTTTTTATTTTCCCTGGCGATGGATATACTGACGCGACACATCCAAGGGGAGATGTCATGGTGTATGTTATTTGCATATGACATAGTGTTAGTTGACGAGACGCATAGCGCCGTTAATGCTAGGCTGGAGGCGTGGAGACAGACCCTGGAGTCTAAATATTTCAAGTTAAGTAGGACAAAAATAGAATACTTGGAGTGCAAGTTCAATATTGGGACGCATGAAACAAAAGTGGATGTGAAGCTTGATACACAAGTCATCCCTAAGAGAGATAGTTTTAAGTATCTTGGGTCTGTAATACTAGGTAATAAGGAGATTGACGAGGATGTTACACTCGTATTGGAGCGAGGTGGATGAAATAAAGGCTTATCTTCTAGTGTTATGTGTGATAGGAATGTTCCACCGAGACTTAAGTGCAAGTTCTTGTAACGACCTGATCGATCGTTTTATGTAATTATGCCCCGTTACCCCTTTGTATGATTCACACATGTGTGTTTATGACTTGCGGGCTTGGTTGATTTCGTTCCGGAAAGCATTCAGGTTGATTTGGATCCTTGATTCTTGACTTAGAAGTTTAAATTAGAAATTATTGACCAAACTTTGACTTTTGTGAAAACAACCCAGAACTGTGTTATTATGGCTCCGATAGCTTCGTATCGTGATTTCGGACTTGGGCGTATACCCAGAATTAGTTTTGAACGTCCGTAAGCTGATTTATATTGATTTGCCGAAATTTCGCAATTTGAAGTTTAAAAGTTTGACCGTAGGTTGACTTTTAGTTATCGAGCTCGAAATTTAATTTTGGGACTAAGAATAGGTCCGTTATGGTATTTGGAAATTTCTTGCAAAATTTGATATCATTCAAAGTTGAATTGATAGGATTCGGACGCTTAGTTGCAATTCTAGAAGTTCTTGAAATTTTCTTTGAAATTCATCCATTTTAATGTTCGGTTCGTAGTTTTAGATATTATTTTTGTGGTTTGCGCGAGAGAGTTTGTGTGATGTTTTTAGACTTTTGTGGGCGTTTGGTTTGGAGCCCCAAGGGCTCGGATGAGTTTTGGACATGTTCCAGAGTGGTTTGGACTAAAATTGCAGAAATCTGATTTCTGGTGCTCTGGTGTCGCAATTGCGAACACCAGAGTCACATGCGAAGGTGACAGAAGCGGAGCAGTTGTCATAAATGCGACTTCCCCTTCGCATTTACGAAGGCAGCATGATTATAGCTTAGTTCGCATTTGCGAACAATTTGTTCGCTTTTGCGATGGCTCTTCAGTTCGCAATTGCGATGCCTCTATCACAACCGCGATGCATGCTGAGGCTGTCAGGGCTCGCAAATGTGAGCCCTGGTCTGCAATTGTGAGAGTTCGCAAATACGAACCCTGTGTCATGAATGCAACATCTGCAGCGGGTTAAAGGGCTGGGAGATAGGATTTTTGAACTCATTCTCTCATTTTTGAACCCTAGACTCGGTAGGAGGCGATTTGGAGAGGGGATTTTAACCTACAAATCTTGGGTAAGTGATTCTAATATATTTCTAATCATATTGCATCCACATATCTTATATTTTAACATCAAAATCAGGTGAATCAAAGTGAAAATTTATGAAACTTTGTCAAGTTTTTGAAAAAAAAGAAATTGAATTTTGAGAGTCGATTTGGACTCGATTTTTGAAACTAATCACATATGTGAACTCGGGGGATCATGGTAGTCGGATTCTATCACTGGACCAGGGTTTTGCCCGAGCGGGCCCCGAGTTGACTTTTATTGACTTTTTGGGAAAAGTGTAAAGATCTCAACTTTATCTATTGTAAATGAATTTCCTAGCATTGTTTGATAATATTAAGTCGATTTTGGTTAGATTTGAGCCATGTGGAAGCAAATTGTAAGGAAAAAGCTATTTTCGAGTGTTGAATTGGCCTAGTTAAGGTAAGTGTCTTGCCTAACTTTGTGTGGGAGAAACTACCCCTTAGGATTGGTATTGATTGATACATTTGTGTTATGTGAAATCCGTGTACGCAAGGCGACGAGTGGGTACACGGGTTGTACGTGGTATTTATTGTTGATTATCATTTTTTGAAGCTATCTCTTTCATTGTTGATTATCATTTTTTGAAGTTATTGTTCATGTTATCTCTCTCATTGTTGATTATTATTATTTGACGTTATTATTCATGTTTTCACTCTCATTGTTAATTATCATTATTTGAAGTTATTGTTCATGTTATCCCTTCTCTTGTTGATTTCCATTATTTGAAGTCATTGTTACATGTTATCTATTACCTTGTGAGTTATTCTTATTTAACGTCATGGTTATACATTATTTCTTATTGTTGAGTTATTGGTGTTGAAGTTGTGAAGCCGTTATCACCTTGAGGTGAAATTGTTATTGTTGAAACATATTTTTGTTGAACATTTTACATTCATTGTTGTTGTTGATATTCTTGTACACGTTGTGGTGGAGCCGTGGGCTATTGCCGTTGAAACATCGATATTGTTAATTGTTGGCAAGTTGTGATATATGGGCACTTGTTGTGCGAGTTGTTATTGTGATGTGATATTGACGCACGTGTGGCCGTATAAGGCTTGGAGTTAATGTACATGCGGCGGTATAAGGTGGGACTTATGTGCGTGTTTATTGTAGGGGGCTACGTGAAGCCGTTATCACCTTGAGGCAAAATTGTTATTGTTGAAACATCATTTTTTGAACATTTTACATTCATTGTTGTTGTTGATATTCTTGTACACATTGTGGTTGAGCCGTGGGCTATTGTTGTGGAAATATCGATATTGTTAAATGTTGGCAAGTTGTGATATTTGGGCACTTGTGGTGCGAGTTTTTATTGTGATATGATATTGACGCACATGCGACGGTATAATACTTGAGGTTAATGTGCATGCGGTAGTATAAGGTGGGACTTATGTACGTGTTGATTGTAGGGGAGCTACGTGAAGTCACACGGCGTCATAAGGTGGGCTAACGTGCGTGTAGCTATTTCTAAAAAACTGTTTTCAAAAATGTATTTCAAATGTAAGGCTCTCGCAGTGGTATAAGGAAAGATTTTGATTGAGATTGTGAAATGTGTATACGAGGTGGTGCCTCAGTTATGATTCTTGATTTATACGAAGCGGTACCTCAGTGGTGATGCTTATTATACACGAGGCGGTACCTCGTTGTGATTTTTGTCTTTATCTCTTTTTTGCAAGCAGTGTTTGTGGGAACGTGTCTGTTGTTTTGTTCTTCCCTTTTTAGCAGTTGTTGCCCATACATGATTATTTTAGCTCTCTCTTTAGCTGCTTCTTTTTTGTTACTTTCATGTCTAATTTATGGTATTAATCATGTTATTATCTTATTTCGTATTGGTTATTTCTTCGCTTTCTATTATTTATCCTTATTACATTTCCATAATGCTTATTTGTATCCTAGTAGCTGTCTTGACCTAGCCTCGTCACTACTGTACCGAGGTTAGGCTTGATACTTATTGGGTACCATTGTGGTATACTGATACTATGCTTCTGCACAATTTTTGTACATATCCAGGTACGCCGGCTCGTGCCAGACACTAAAGTTGATTTGTGTTGTTGCTTGGAGATTTCAAGGTATACCTGCTCCACGTCCTTAGGCCTCAGAGTCACTCCTGTTGTATTTCTTTCAGACAATGATGCATTAGATATTCTAGTTTATTCTATAGAGCTTATGATTCAGTTCCACCGGTTTTGGAAAAATATTTGTTGAGATTCTATTTCGGAGTTCATATCAGTTATTTACTCTTGTTTTAGTATTTTAGGTTGATTATATCTGTCAAGTTGTTATTAATTGTTAGGATTACCTAGTCGTAGAGACAAGGTGCCATCATGACATCCTACGTAGGGAAATTAGCGTCATGACAAGTTGGTATTAGAGCTCTAGGTTCATAGGTATTACGAGTCATAAGCATGTTAAGTAGAGTCTTGCGGATTGGTATAAAGATGTTTGTACTTATCTTCGAGAGGCTACAGAACTATTGGGAAAAACTTCACTTCTTTGATTCATTATTGTGCGAATTGATTGACTTCGAAAATTGAATCTTTAACTTTCTATTCTGTAACAAATGGTGAGGAGACGCATTGTTGGATCCGATAATCATATACCTGCGTCCCTTGCTAGAGCCGCGAGTGGCCGGGGCCGGGGCATAGGCCGAGGAGGTGCACGTGGTGCAGCCAAAGCTCTTGCCCGAGCTGCGTCAGAGGAGCGACCAGTAGCTCCAGTCGGGGGATAGGCACCCAAGGCGCCTGTTTCCACGCCAGCACTTTAGGAGACCCTCGCACAGTTCTTGAGCATGTTCGGTACTCTAGCTCAGGCGGGGTTAGTTCCACTTGCACCAGCCACATCTCAGGCTGGGGGAGGAGC